CACTTAGTTTGTACGAGAATTTATGTTTTTTAGTTCACACAAGAATTTAGCTGTAGGGACAAATAAATCAAACTTTCTCTGACAAAAAAAATATTTGATGTTCCGGATGTGACCTAGTTGATTTTTTAATATATAGGAATAATAAACTGGCGAGGGATCGGGTACTACAAATTGAAAAGACATGTCGTATTTAAGCGAACAAACTGTTTTCTTTGAAATCATTTGTGCTGACTTACGGAAAATCTATAGCCTATTCGTTTGGCTGTGGCTTGTCGTAAATGATCGTAAATTTCCAGCCGGAACAGTATTTTTCTCTCACACAAACCAGCCAACAGTACTCTTCACGAACCAGCAACGAAATGAATTGCTAGTCTTTGCATCGATCAGTCAGTTAGACAAAGAAGCTTCTGTTACTGCTACAAATTGGTCAGTCACACACTGACACTGGAGGATGTATCTTCGCGGCGAAGGAAATTGGCACACCGTACGGTTACTACGTGGAAAGCAAGCCCTGGATTGGAGGCTGGAGCGAATCTCTGTGAGGCACAGCGTACCGGCTCGTCTGCGAGTCCAAAAGTGAGTCCTAGTGACAGAAGGGCTTCCACTCTCATCCGTCAGTCATCACACTGTTTGGGCAATCTTCGGACCAAAGGTACGAGCTTTTCCTGCTGGATCGCAACAAGTGCTGAGCATCTCGTCTTTCAGTCGAAGTGGCGCAAGTGAGAAAGCAAATGAAACGAGCTTTGCACCCTTTAAAACCGGACATGAACAGTATATTTCCACACGGTAAAGCAAGGTACGAGCTTTGCACCCGGTCAGTTGATTTCTACGTACGTTCAAAACACTGATAGAATTATTACTACCAAAAATATAGTGCACCAACGAAATTCTGCATCTTGTCAGGTATATACCTTGCCGATGTATGCGGTACGCATCTATCGTCGCCGAATCTCACGGCAACACTAGGTAAATGCAAGATGAGAGCGGAACGAAGAAAGGATGTGAAGACAAGGGCAAAAATACTATTTCTCCCGTCTTATCTCTCTCCATAGATATGAGAAATTAATAAAATAATTTATATGATGTCTTAACATAAATGGTAGCGATTTCATAATATTACCTAATAAATTTTAATGTTTTGTGGTGTCGATTTACAAATACCACTTTTTTTTGACATGAGGATGTCCCGCAACAAAAAATTGCCTAAATTATAAATCTTAGGTCTACGTAAGATGAATTGGTTAAACTTCTCGTGGTGGAACCAGCCCTACCTGAGTTCAAGTCCTCGACTTGACACATGTGCTCGCATTTTCCAAGATTTATTTTAGGGTTTGATGACGCCAGTGGCAGACGACGTGTTCCTTGATAGCGAGACGTCTATGGTGACTTCGTCAATCTCAAGATTTGTTGGTTCAACTCAGTTCTTCGAAGGTGCCTATAGGGTGCCCCTTGATAGCGAGGCGTCTATGGTGACTTCGTCACTCAAGATTTGTCAGTTCTTCGAAGGTGCTCATAGGGGTGAGTCTATGCTCTGGTACAGAAAGGATTTTACGATATAGACTCCTGAGAGTTGGGTATTTTGTAGTACCGCCTCTGCAACCGTGGAGGCAGTTTCTAGGCAAACGCTCTCCTCTTAATCATTTTCAATGGTCGTATATTGCAAGGCAATTGTGTCCAGAAATGAATTAACAGAGACGATCATTCTAAGGATCGCCTCTTAAAATAGTTGTCCTAAAAAATTGCAATTTCTTATATGAATATAGATAAAGAAAAATGATACTAGAGTATTAGAGCTCAATGTAATCTATAACTTTGTAGCAAATAAATTTTGAAATTTAAAATTTTCAAACAACCTCGGACATTGACATAATCTGCACAAAAGTTGTAGTTCTCAGTACGATTTACAACTTTGTAGTTAACAAGCTTTCATTTGATGTCATTTTTAGATTTATAAATAAATGTTTTATGTTCTAAGATATTGAAATTAAAATTTAGAAATTTCAAGTGACATTGGAGATTTTTTAGGGTTCAGTGGGGGAATTCCCCCACCAATTTTTTTGTATTAATGAAGTAAGTAGAGTAGTATAGGTGCACAAGGTGTGGATATAAGGAGATTGCAAAGCTCAAGAACAAAAATGAAAAGGCTACTAAGGCAGATTCTCCAACTAAAGATTTAGGGCACCTTCAAGGTTGGGTTTGGCCTTTGATGCAAACCAAGGAAATTTCATTTTTGAAATGCTCTTTCCACTTGTTCACAACATTGCAAGGTATGTTATAAAAATCAGTCTATTCCCTGAGGTCCAAATAATCCAGCAAGTAGCGATGATGATTTCTCCGAAGTAGCTTATTCCAATATCTAACTTGGATTCTATGACCATATCCATGGGCGGTATGTTTAAATTCCAATGTATATCAAGGTAGTTCCAGCAGGCTATGATGAAAGGGCACTTTCGAAGAACAGGTGCATACATGTCTCTTCAGTTCGGAGTTGCCAATGGCACAGCTGTAGTCCTCCAAAACTTTGTTCTTTCTTCTTAGTAGATTCCTTGTGTTTGAGCAGTCTTTGAGAAGTAACCAGAAGAAGAACTTATGTTTACCAAAATTTCCGAAGACCAGAGCCAGGAGAAGAGGGGGGAGGCTACTGAGGGCCTTGAAGGAGAATGTAAGCTTTCTTAAGCTGAATTTCCTAGCGTTCAATTGTACTTCCAAATTGTCTAAAAGATCCTGGTTCCAAGTCCTACCCTACAGAAGGAGTTGAAGGGCCTCAAGTTCTTCAGAGGCTTGGACCGAGAGTGGAAGAGCAAAAATCTAATTGACTTCATTGTGAAAGAAGAATCTGACGGAGCTTTTCTATGTTCGGCAAAGGAAAACTGATGTGGGAATATGTTTCTACGAGACAGGTTCAATCCAGTTATCAGACCAAAAGAGGATGGAGCTACCTAGGTTCGGCTTGCATGTTGCCATGATGTAAAATCAGGATATAGCTTGAGCACGTCCTTCCACCAGAAGGATCCAACTAGACATCTTGCATGGTTTGGGACATTGGTGGAGTAAAGTTTTGACCATGCCAGGCTTATCGAGGGGACATCTGCATGATTATAGAATTTGTCCATGAATTTCAATAAGAGGGTTTTTTCCTGTGTTTGTATGTTAACTATGCCAAGGCCACGCTCAGTTTTGGGCCTACAAGCAGGCTCCCAGCCTGCCAAACAGGAACCTTTTTTGTTGATATCACCTTCACTCCACAAACAATGTGTTCCTATACCTGTCAATTTGCTTAATGACTTGGGGAGGCAAAATGAGACTACACATATAGAAAGTTGGCATAGCTGTGAAGACAGAGTTAACAAGTACCAATCTGCCTTGATATGAAAGCATCTTGCTGATCCCATTGAGCTTGGTTTCAATCTTGGACAGAAGAGGGCTAAATTCTTGAAAGGAAGGCCTATAAGTACCCGGTCGGAGCCACAAGTAGGTGAAGGGCTCCGGTTATCTTGTGAACTCCGGTTATCCAAACCGAATAGGGTATCTTGCCCCTTTCAAAGGAAGCACATACCATATACCAGAATTTCATCATCATTCTGGACCACCCAAGGGAAGTATGAGGTGTTCAATTTCTTGCATTTCCCTTCGAAGTGTCATTGAGCGGGCTTTCAGAGTATATAAGGAGAAGTGGTGTATTTTGATGGGCATACCAAGTTTCTCAACTCGTACTTAGAAGCATATCATTATTGCTTATTTGGCATTGCATAATTTTATCCGTGACAGCAATTTGCGTGATAAGGAGTTCGAGAGATGTGATGCTGATGAGGAATACTTGGTACAACAGATAAGTGACACGACACAAGCACAAGGAGATGAGAGTGAAGATGTGGAGAATGAGCATACGATGAATACCATTCGCAGTAGAATAGCTGATGCTTTGGTTAGTGCGAGAGGAGGATAGTTATGTTGAGGGATGACATCAATGGATGTGCCCTTTGTCTTTTATAAAATGCTATTGTTCTATTACGTGGACCATATCACTTTGATTCATGAAAAACTTAAAAAAATTAATGTTTCCTTTCCAAAATAGTGATTTACATGCGAATAAGTGAATAGAATAGTTATTTACGAGCAATTTGCATATAAATACTCCCTTAGGACTTCAGGGGCATGACATACATTTCTTACGCAGCCTACAGTTTTACACCTGCTCCAATCAAACGACTTTCAACTTTTCCCACAACTCTTAGATCACAGCAGCTTTTCTACAGCCCACAGCTCACAACAACTTTTTCAAAAGCCACAGCTCAACCAAACACGGCCATAATGTTTCTACAAATTACAAGGGTCAAGTCCTCCTCTGACTGCTCTTCATTGTTTCCTTCTAACATTTGTGAAAACATTTCCTCTGGTAGTGCTATCATTGTGTGCTTGATCCTGAAACCCATAAATGCAATGCTAGCTTTTAAGTATTATTCGAATATCACTACTTCATATCAGGAAAATGTTGTATGAGTGCAATAAAGTGCATGAGAAGTGTACCTAAGTTCCAGATCCATGGTACTAATATTTTCTCCAATTTTCATAGTCTGGTTGCAAGATATTACAATGGAACCTCCAATGGGACAGAACTTCACAGAAGCAAATAGGAAGTCGAACAGGACATTCTGCAGTAGCTGCATTAAGTTCGGACTATGAAGCCTTTGCTTGCGAAATTTCTCTGCAAGGTCGGTAGATACTCTGATCCCTTTTCCTTGACAAGCTGGCCGTACTTCACTTATTGCGGCCTCCAGCATGTCTTGTAACACAAGTTCACCCATCTAGAAATCCATATGACTTAACCTGTGAGCCCAGCAATATAATGGAACATTATTAAGCCAATGGTCCTTACAACATTGATGTAAATCAGATAGAAAAACTCCTAGCTTGCTATGAGAGCTTAATAAAAACAAATGAAGAAAAAAATGGTACGTCATGGAGAACAAAACCTTTAACCTTTTTATCATACTTCTGTGTCACATCTGCTTCTCCAATTCTAGCTCCTTATTTATGTGGACAGCAAATACTTGTGCTATGAATTCACATGCATGCCGTAGCGAAAAGGGGACATGTCTAGGGCTCATATGCTGGCAAACAATGGGGCCCCATAGCTTCTTCCTCGGGCGCCGCCATTCTGTTGGTTGTTCATGCTTGGCATCAGAATATTCTCCATTTTCATTTATCACAACAGCCATTACTAGAGAGGCAACCGATTTCATGTTCTTCATATACTGAAGGTGACAACTTTGTGGCGCCCCAAGAGTTGAACCACACAAGCTAACATTAAAAGGGAGTTCCTCGTCTTTGATAATCTTCACTGGCCTCATAGAGCAGTCACATATCATTTGAACTTGGTGCTTCATGAAAAGAATCCTGGCGGCTTGAGGGATATCAGTGGCTGGATAGTGTAGGCCAATAAATGGTTCAAGACCAGGTTCTCTAACCTCAGCAATGATCTCACCATGATAATCTTCATGGAACTTGTAAGCCATGACTCTATCATATCCCACTAAGCCATGACTCTAGCATGTAAGACTGCGGCAAAGCCCATGCAACAGCAGTAGAAATTTCAGAAGGCTTCACTGGCTCAAAATCAACCACTAGACAACCAGTACCAGTCACCTTATGGGCAATGGCATTAAATAGCTTGCTCGATGATCTGCATTCAACTAGGACTGGATTCAAAGAAGAAACATCAGCAGACCTTAGTACCTTGTGTAGTGATGTGGCACTATATTCCACGAAAAGTGACAATGCATTCGTCCCAATGGACAACATTGGGGATTCATAGATACTTGGCTCTACATGGCTGATTGTTTTAAGCATCTCAGGTGCATTTTCACTGAATGCAATGACATTGAGGCTCATTACATCAAGCACCAACAAGCAACCAAATGGCTGCAAGTAGGCTGTATCCTCCTCTGAACGCTCCTGCTGTAGATTTGAAGTGGTCCCCTCTAACAACATGGGGTAATCAAAGGAATCACCAGAATCTTCATATTTTGTGCCAAGTTCAGCATCAAGGGTTATTTGTGCTGACATCCTTGCTAGGGAACTCTGCCGTGTGTTGCAAGAATTGGAGAATTGGGTAGGTTTTGACGAAAACATTTTGTACCTCAAGTATATGCATGATCCACTCAAAGGTACTACCAATTGTACCACTCCTGCTTGATAACACATCAAGTGAGTAACCACTATTGGAATTTGAAAAAACAAAAGACTTATTTAGTGTACTACAAGAATATACACTCAAAATTAAGTAATTAAAATGCCCTTGACAAGACTATATACAGTGTAGAAGACTAGAGGTACATTGGGGAAGATATATACCCTTTGTTCGTAGTGCAATTTATTTATTAGATGTGTTTGGGAAGGCATAGTGCTATAGTATTCCAAATATTTTCGTCAACAAAATAGTATTCAGAAGCTTATTCTTAGCAATACAAAACATCTTACTATTACTAATGCTCTAATGGAGGCTCCATGTTAATTCTTACAAAAAAAGATAATTAAATCCTAGAAATTAGCACAATAATCATAAATATCTAGCCTTTAATTTAGTATCTCTAAACATCAGTGCTAATAATAGACATTGGATCTATTATGTTTTATTAAAAATTACCCACCTCTGTTATTATGAAAATACACAAAGTAACCCACTAATTTTGTATCTAAATTATCCACTTCTTCCATTATAATTCGAAATAACCCCATAAATTTGTATCTAAATTACCTACATATGCCACTATGAAAGAATTTTTCAAACCAACCCCAGAATTTGCATGTAAATTACCAACATCTGCCATTAGTAAAAGATTAATCATAATAACCCTCTAGGTTTATATCTAAATTAACTAACTCTGCTATTATGAAAGATAATTTAAAATAACATTGTCGTATTTTTTATGAATTACCCACATATGCTATTATGAAAGATGATACAAAGTAATCCCTAGGTTTGCATTTAAATTACCAATATATGCAATTATGAAATATATTAGAAAGTAACACCTTTTAGTTCATATGTAAATTATCCACCTTAGCCATTATAAAAAATAACAAAAAATTCTCAAATCTAGAGGTAAATGCTAATATAACCTATTACAAAAATATTTCAACATCCGTAAAGTATGTTATGTATATTTTTAAATTACACACTTTCTATGTATTTACGTTAAAAGTAAACATAAAATTATTAGTCAAGTAAATATATACGCATTAAATAAATATTTATTTAAATA